TATACGTGAACTCTGAAGAAAAGGAAACTCATAGATACACAGAACCAGATGAGTGATGGCCATAGGCAGGGTTGGGAGAAATGAGTGAAGGTGGTCAAAAGGTAGAAACTTCCGTCGATAAGTTTTGGCGATGTAACATACAGCATAGAGACAATTAACAATACTGTACTGTGCTGTATAATTGAAAGTGGCTACGTGAGTAAATCTTAAGTACTTGTCACAAGAAAAGTGTAGGTATTTTGGCGACCAATGTTACAGTCATCAATTTGCAATATATACATATTTCAAATCATTATGTTGTACACCTAAAAAAATAAATTGAAACAAATATTGGCTCTGAATGTCACTACCTTTCACTGTATCATTCACAGTGTGGAATGACCCCCTTCCATACTGACCAGCTAATCATTGGCATCATCATTAGATACTAGAATATATTTAAAAACCTGTACAAAGCAATTGTATTCAAAATTGAAACCAGGTACCCTAAAGCCTAATTTAAAAAGCCATTGGAGAAAGGCAGTAAAGAGAGAAGGAATAAGGTAATCATACATCGAGTTGGAAACTGGTTCAAGATATAACGTGATTTACATTAGTAATCTAAAGAAAAATAATGATGGGGGTAGTTGTTTGTATACAGCCCCCCTTTTAAGAGAAAATCTAGCACATTGTTCCTATTTGATACAGAGAAAGCAGTTGGCTTAGGTATCATCAAAATCACAGATAAAAGGATTTGCAGATCTTTTCAGCATAGGCTACATAGGTTCTGGCTGGTCACTTTTTTTTTTTAATGTTTAATTTTGAGAGCCCACAAGCAGGGGAGGGACAGAGAAAGAGGGAGACAGAATCTGAAGCAGGCTCCACACATTAGCACAGAGCCCGGCACGGGGCTTAAACCCACAAACTGAGATCATGACCTGAGCCCAAGTCAGGGATGCTCAAATGACTGAACCGCCCTGGCCGAAGTCGCTTTTTAGCAAGTAGAACCATGATCATTTCAGTCGAGCAAAGGGAATTGGGTCACATGGGCTATCACGCCTTCAAGTAAAGCCTAAAACCATGGTGAGTGTCAGAATTTAAAGAATATTTTGTCCATAGCAAACCAACTTTACCCTGTCTTATTTTGGTGCATTCATTTTTTTTTTTTTGTAAATGTATCAGTCATTTTGTTGGACCACCTTCAGACAGGCTATGGAGGCTATAGTTAATAATTCAGAAAGGATTTTGTTTTACATGTTTGTGGGAGTCAGAGTGGAGTAGAATCTACTTGAACCATTGTTAAAGCACTTACATTAACTAAGTATGGAATCCATTGACCATTAACAATATGCTGTTTGAGCAGGCAGTGAAACAGTGTAATAGGAATAAGGGCTGGCCAAATTCCTAGGGTATACAGTTGGGACTTAATATTTTCTTGTTCAATAACTGGCTCTGGGGAGGGGGGGTGTGGGGTAAGGGAGAACCTGTGGTCACTGGTGTTATTTAACACATTTCTGGGTTGCCTGTGATAGCTACACATGAGTATGTGATTAGAAGATGTATAAATATTAGTAGCTTTCTGGTTTGATGTCTTACAATGGTATGTAACAGTCACCTATTGCCGTGTGACAAAATAATTACAAAATTCTCAGGTTACATATTTCTCGTTCATGCACCTCTTGGTTGGCTGGAGTTCTGCTGCAGCTCATCTAGGCTTGACTCCAAGTTGTAGGGTGGATTCAGGTCTGTCCCACCTCCCTCTCCTCCTTCCTGGATGAGTAGGCTCTCTGGGCCATGCGCTCCTTACAGGACATCGGCACAAGAGGACAAGCCCAACAACCCAAGGACGTTACAGAACTCTCCTTCTATCTGCCAACATTCCATTGGCCAAAGAAGGTCACGTGACCAAGTCCAAATTCCTGGGGCAGGGAAGCATGCGCCCCCCCAGTACTCGGTCACTCCCTTCTGTCTACACTGACCTTCTTGCTGTTTGAGCAAGCCAGTCACACTCCCCTCTCAAAGTCTTTGTGTTTGCTTTCCTCTCTTGTATATCCATGGGTCATGCCCTCACGTGCTTACAGTTTTTGCCCGACTGCACCTCATCAACGAAGGCTTCCAAGATTCCCCTTTCTGAAGGTTCCCCACTCATCCTCTCTCGTGAAGGTTCCTCACCGTGTGACATACCTAACTTACTTGTTTAGACTGTGTACCTCCATATGAATGGGAGTTCCATGGATACAGGGCTTTTTTGTTGTTGACTGCTATCTCCCCAACACGCACAACAGCACCTGACATAGAGTTGGCTCTTGATAAATGTTAGTATAAATAATCTTGCCGTGTGGTCATTTGTATGGCTATTTTTTTAGACATTTAAAATCTGGCTCAATATCAAAGAATCCAGTGGTGTTGCTCAAATTTCAGGTGTCATTTAGCAGTTTTCACTTTTCAGCATAATTGACACAGAAAATATTAGCCGTCAAGCATGTTTCAGCGTCGATTCAGCTCTACTCACGCACACACGTGAGAACTCTGATTTTGATTCTTAAAAGGAGTAGTTAAGCCCAGAGGACTTTTTACTTAGTGAGGAAGTCTTGAGCAACAAAGAAAACAAGATGATACTTTATTCGTATATGTACTGTGCAGGATGCACGAGGCACTTGAAAAATATTTGAAGGGATACCTTCATCACTGTCCTGAAAGTTTTCCATTAAAGCAAGCCAATTTTAGATTTGTACTTGGACACTCGGATTTGAAACTTACAGATAATAGTTCATCTGTAAAGATGAACCTGGTCGACATCATTAGGTTTATGCTTTAAACTTTGATCCCTGAAATAACTGAGGCAGAGGAATGCCTACCCCATCCCTGAACTGTATTTGAATCTTACCACACTACTATTCAGTTCCTGGAGCTCCAGGGTAATGTAATTCACCTGTCAGGCTGGTCATGCTTGCCCCTGTTGGTTCTGATTTATTCCGTAAGGCTTGTTATCGCTAATGCAGACTTACTGCCATTCAAAATGCCTCATGTTCCACAACTTGGCAAAATTTGCATCAGTAATGGGATGAAGACGTGCATTCACCTCTAGAGTTGTCAGGATTCTGTTCCTGCTGGCATTGTTTCATTCATTCCACCCTCACCACATAATGGTAGTTTGAACTCTCAGGAAAAAAGAAATTAAAGGTGCTCTATTTCATTGTTTTCATTGCTAAACACATAAATAGAAGGAAGTTGTGTGTGTGCGCGCGCGCGCGCGTGTGTGTGTGTGTAGATTGGTAGGTGGCTACCGTAACTTCTTTTTCTATCTTGTGATCTTAATTTTCACCACTTATTTCTTAGTATCTGAAAGAGGTTTTCTATGGTATATTACCATGAGACTCACAGAAATAGAGGCTCTTTGTCTGTCCTGTGCCCCTAAGCTCTCCACTCTGATGTTGACGTACAGCCTTACATCCACTGGGATAGGACTCTCTTTGCAGTGAACATTGGGCCAAGGATTGTTTGAGGTTACACTTTAAAAAAAAAAAAAAAAGGTGAAAACTTAGTAATGAATGCAGGATTATAATCGTAAATGAAGATCCCAGTGGCATAGACAAAAGGAGATAACAAGCATGTTTACGTCACTAAATCGCCAGCTGTCCAGTCATTTCCAAGTCCGATGTGAACCTGAGGTTGTCCTTAAGCATCTTCATTACTGTTGATCTGGAAGCAAGGTCTTGTTTTAGATGCAAGTGACACTGTCCTGAACGAATAGAGCGCTTGAACTTAAGAACATCAGAAACTTAGTTTGCAGAGACTTTGAGAGTTGCAAGTAATTTTGTTCTCAGTGAAGAAATCTCTCCCTTGCTGCAAATGTCTGAGGTGCGTTCCTGTCAACCCATGAACCATCATCAGTAGAGACATACAGATCGACATCATCTTCAAGAGGACTCCCTATCTCAGACGAGGACCGTCCATCCCTAATTCCTTTTTCTTCCAAAACATCCTTCTCCCGTCAACAGATTCTTAAAAATGAAAAAAAAAAAAAAAAACACCAGAATTTCCCCTTTAGAAGCCTCCAAAAACACGATGATGATAAAGTAGGCCCGTGTAACAAAGAGGAAAGGAACATTACTCCCCAGTATCCTCCGTATCCACGGTCCTTAGAATAGTAATATTTCACTCCCTACATAGGTCATGTGCAACTTTTATTTCTCCCTATTTCATTGGACTTTAAAAGTACTTGAGTTTTATTTGTTACCTTTGGTTAAATGTCAAAGGAAAGAGTGGAGAAAACACCTCTGTCTCCGCTTCTTCCTTTCCTTCCTAAAGTGCATGCAAAATGTCACGTTCTTAGTTCCTTTCATTGAACAGGCACACTGCAAGGGTCTAATAATTTTTTCATTACAAAGGAAAACATTTCACCTTTATTAATGGGGCCTAAGAAACTTAGGTCGATTTTATCTTGGCTTCTAAACAGGTAAACCATTTCCTTCTCCCAAGACCAGAGTATAGATCCCTGCATGGAGTTCTTCCCTTGAAGAAGTCATTCCCCAATTATTCAGCTTGAGGGGTTATTTTTATTGATGTTATTTATGAGCGAATGGAAATGATTCTAAAATGACTTTTTAAACATTTCTAAAATTTTTTTAAAAATGTTTTTATTTATTTTTGGAAGAGAGACAGAGCGCAAGCAGGGGAGGGGCAGAGAGGGAGGGAGACACAGCATCCGATGCAGGCTCTGAGCTATCAGCGTAGAGCCCAATGCGGGGCTCGAACCCACAAACCGGAAGATCACGACCTGAGTCAAAGTTGGACACTTAACCGACGGAGCCATCCAGGCACCCCTTATTTTGTATTTTATAGTCATCTCTGCACCCCATCTGGGGTTCAAACTCATGACCCCAAGATCAAGAGTCACATGCTCTACCGACTGAGCCACCCAGGCGCCCCAACTTTTTAAGTGGGACCGTGGGCTTTTTCTCAAAATGTCTGTTTTCCGTAAGTGTAACTGGCCATTGTTTGTGCTTGCTTTCGTTAAGGCGAGGAAGACCTGCTCAGTCCTCCCCAGGACACAAGCACAGGGTTAGAGGAAGTGATGGAACAGCTCAACAACTCCTTCCCTAGTTCCAGAGGTAAGGCCCACGACGTGCAAGTAACTCACACCTACTGGAATTAGGCCCCTCATTTCTGTACCCTAGCCCGCGTATTTCCCGTGTTTAAGGAGGCACTTGCTGACAGAGTGCTAGTCTGGGGTCATTGTGTGAAGAGAATATTGTTGAGTGTCGAGTTCTGGTTTGGATGACTGAATTGACTGGTTTTGGATGCTGGTTGAATTCAAACACCTGTATAATAGCGTTGTCTCTAGAAATAAGACTATCAACTCACACGTTATTTTACGTGCTTTGCGTATCAGTCTGAAGCGTTAATTATGAGATAAGATAGCTTATTCTTAAGAGCAACGATGATGTGACTTTTACAAAGAAATTCACGCCCCGGTGGCACCTTTGCCGGGGACACAAAGTCGATACGCGCGATACGGTGAAATCCAGAACGTGCTTAGTATATGGTTGGGGGGCAGGGGGGGGGGACTCTGACTTCCAATCTGATGCCCTTTATATTTAAAAATTGTATCTTACCCCATTTGTTAAATACAGGTACAGTGAACTCTTTGTATGCTACTTTGTTGTTGACTTCACTTTCCTAGGTGGAATACCATCTCTGTAAAGAAAGATGTTAATTCTATTAATGCCTCTATTTCTCACCGTCACTTTGACCTTGCGTATCTTGCCCCTCCTATAAAAGCAGCATTTTACCCCCGCCAGATTTTCCCACTAGCCTGTAGGAGCTTCAGATGTCTTCCTAGCATTTGGGAGTGATTGTTTTACTTTATTGCTGTGACATAAACCAGAGTCACTGACCCACCTCCCTTCAATGAATAAAAAGAATGGCTGCAGTCACCTGTAAGCAAGTAGATGCAACACCTCGACAAGCCAAAGGGGCGGACACACGTCTCGGCAGGGATTGGCATCCCTCGTGGGCAGCCCCGGAGGGAAGGGCAGCAGAGAATCTGGCTGTTTGTTCCTCTCCATAAGGGCCACGAGGAGGGTATTTTGAGTCCTGTGTTTTTCTGATCTTGTTGTTCAGTGTCCGCTCCCGGTGGCCGGGTCCTGGCTCTTTGCTGTACTCGTGAACGTTGCACGGTGCACATTAAAAGCACTGATGTTCTGATAGAGCGTTGCTAAGGAACTGTTGGGGGAAGCTAATTTTAAATGTCTGCACCAGCCATCTTTTCCCTGCTGAGTGCCTCTGATGTGTTGATTTTAACACCTAAAAATCTCAGCTGTCTTCCACCCACCACCCCCACCTCCATCTTGACTGTCTTAGCTGTCTTTTGTCCCTAGATGCCATGGTTCACGAGAAGACCACATGTTGGTTTGATGTAAATCACATGCTCTCCCTTTTAGCCCGTCAGCTTTTACCGGCACCTGACTTTGGACCGCTGGAGGTGTTAGGGATGCAAAGAAATGCCAGATTCCTTGCCCTCGAGGCGCTTACGGTCAACTGTGGACTTCCGAAGTTCACATTATAGTATTACTGCTCTGACCTAGGGCTCTAGGACATGAGGGAATCCCAGAGGCACCCTTTTGCATAAGAGGGGTTAGCCTCAGGCACAGCGAGGGTCTTTCTCAAGTTCACACAGCCAGAACTTTGGGCCCCACACGTAGCACACATTTCGTTGACGCCATCCTATTCCTTGAAGGTCACAGATGGCTTCCTCGTCCCAGACCCTTAAAATGAAAGCTCGCTTACCTGCTCTGGGGGAAGTTGGTGGCTGCTTCGTTGATGCCCTGGGCATTTGTTCCACATTAAACTAGAGTCGAGTGGAGGCCATAGAAGGGCCCATGGCCCCGCTTCCCTTCAGGCAGCCTTTGTGTCCTGGGCCTGTGGCCCATCCGAATTATCTTTAAGTCCTTTGAACACTCTCCCTGCATCCCCCCTTTTAGTGCATGAAGCTAGATACCACTTGGGTATGGAAGAAGCCATCTGGAAGAGGGCAAATTTACCTCCTCCGATTTATGTGGTAGTTAGCACCTCTGACGTTAAATTTCCTTCTGTGATGGTGATCTACTTCTGTGGAGACTTGGGGGAGCTTTAGGCCACCCCGATAGTGTTTACTCACTTTGCGCTTAGAGAAGCATACCTTCCACCGAGCGCTGATGTGAGTTCTCAGAGGATAAGGAGGCTTTGTCTGACCAATTCCCTTAACTGAGTTCCTACCTAATAGTAGGCCGGTAGCCTGAGAGAAGTCATTTATTTTCCTGAGGAAAGCAATCAAGATCTGGCCGTTCTTTCTGTGATGCTGTTATCTTGTCTTCTTTTTTTTCTTTTTTTGCTACTTCCTGCCACGTTAGGCCTTACCACTGAGCCCCTACTATTGCGCACCCATTTCCAGCGTGTGGGGGTTCCTCTCACGGCGCCGAGCAATTTGGACACCATCTACCCAGAGAGAGCATCACATGCCACAAGTTTAGGGCTTCAGTCCCACAAGACTGCCTCCCCCTTCACCTGGGCTTCTGACCCACTGTAGACTTAGGGGTTCCAGTGACCCACTTCTGGGGTGTTACGGCGGCTCACACAACTCAGAAACGCTTCCTTCACTAGATCAGCGTGTATCACGAAAGGCCAGAACTCCAGAACAGCCGGACGGGAGAGGTCCACAGGGCGAGGCGTGGGGCAAGCGTGTGGAGGGTGCCGTGCTCTCTCGGGGTGCGCTGCCCTCCCAGGACCTCCACTGTTCACCAACCCAAGAAGTTCTCCCTCCCCCTGGGTTTTTAGGGAGGCTTCATTCCAAAGGTGTGATTGATCACATCATTGTCCAGTGGTGAGGCAACCCAGTCTCCAGCACCCCCAGTTTCCCTACCCGGAGGTCAGGGGGTAAGGCTCAAAGTTCCACCCCCCCCTAAACCCAGGGTTGGCTTCCCTGGGACCCAGCCCCTATGTTTAGGTGTTTTCCTAGACTTGCCTCATTACTTCAGAGGAACTTTCAAAGGTTTTAGGAGCTCTGTGCCCTGAAAGGGAATTGAGACCTAATACGCATTTCTTCATTCTAAATCGCAGTATCACAGCTTGTTTCCCTCAAGTTCAACTGGATAAAAAGTCTCATCATTAGAAAACTAGGATGGAAAATATATATACGGTAGGTTTTAGTGGGCGCATCTTACCAGCAAGTAGGTATGTTGGGTTGATACCGAGAAGAGCATTTTGAGCCCTAACATCTCAGGATTACAGGCTCTCCTGCGTGGAAAGGCCTCAGAGGGTCATTTGAGCACTTCTGCTAACCACAGCAGTGGCTTTTGACCTTTTTGACCACTCTCCATAGTAAGAGAAACATTTCACATCTCAAACTGGATTAAGGATATAAGATACATTGGATGTGTGTATATGTGTACAGAAACACATACGTATACACCATGTATATATGCCACAGATATATGTGTCTGGTCACATATACGTACGAAGATCAGCAAAGTTTCGTGAAGCACTGCTTCCTATACTATGTAGAACGCACACCATGTCTCTGCATCAAAATCAAATGCTGGCTGCAACCCACTAAACTGATTTTTGGACGCAGTGGTTTAAAGAATACCAATCCGGGGCGCCTGGGTGGCGCAGTCGGTTAAGCGTCCGACTTCAGCCAGGTCACGATCTCGCGGTCCGGGAGTTCGAGCCCTGCGTCGGGCTCTGGGCTGATGGCTCAGAGCCTGGAGCCTGTTTCCGATTCTGTGTCTCCCTCTCTCTCTGCCCCTCCCCCGTTCATGCTCTGTCTCTCTCTGTCCCAAAAATAAATAAACGTTGAAGAATACTGATCCAAGTGATCTCAGTTTTCCTTGCCCAGATGAACATCTTTTTTAAAAGAAAGTTACACTTATTTGAAACATTTTACCATGGAAGTTTCTGCCAAGATCTTCCTAATAGCTTAGAGGACGCTGTACTTTTACTCTGAGTCGGCCACCCGTGTTCCCATTGCTGTGTTAGAATGAATGAAGTTCACGGTTGCTACAGCTGTTTCGGACAGCTGTCTGGGTAACTCGGGACAGATGCCGGAGCCAGAGGTCTGACATTTAGTGGAAATGCGCTGTTAACTACCACCTCGTGGTTTACTTAACCCTGCTAGATAATTGCCACCAGGGGAAAAGACTTTTTCAATAGAATAGTATGTTTTTCATAAACGTAACGCATATAGAGAGGGGAGTTGTTTTGCATTATACGTTTACAGCTTTTTTGTTGCCGTTGGCCACAGTTTTGACTTCAGGCTCAAGTCTCAAGGTATCCACTAATCCTCACCTCGCCTTCTCACCACAAGTACCTGGAAGCCCAAAGTGCCTTGCTCATGGCCATTCACCAAGTGAAATTAGGCTCCTGATCTTATCTCGCTGGCCTTGCTGAACTGTTACCCGAATCAATCAGGGGGTTACGTGCCCCTCCGGCTCGTGAAAAAACTGCTAGCCAGCACTGGCCTGCCTCCTAGCCAATATAAATTTCAGGGCGTTCAAGGTGTGAACCTGTGCATGTTTAGCTTTGTGGTGATATCTTTCCTGATGAATCTCGGGATATAGTTAGTTATTCACAACCACTTGAGGGATTTGAGCGGCTCAGTGTATATTAAACACAGAACGTTAGCCAACTTCTATCGAATCTCTCTATCTACCAATAAGGTGTCCCTCCATCTGTTAAGTATCTGTAGAAGTGGAATTCCACTGTAATAAAAATCGTTATCTACTATAAGACACTTTCTGATTCTCCACCATTATTCTATAGGAACAGTACATGGGTAGAATGAACAACAAACATCATTTAAAAATAAACAATTTCAGTGATTCGCCCCTATGTCTCTGAGCATCTCACATCCTAACAAAAGTGTTTTTCTATGTATGTGCATTTACGGAAAAAATGCTTCCCTTGTCAGTGGTATGGGATTGGCTTCTCTAAAAATGGGGTGCCGCTCTATACTAATTAACGAACGATAGGATTCGCGATAAGCTCGTACTGCAATAAAGACAATTTACAGCACAGTTAACAGTGCTGTGCAGGCATTTCTGCTGCCTGTACAGTCTCGTACCTGCTGACCTGT